ATAATGATTCTATGATTCTATGAAATCAACCATAACTTTTGCTGGACTTTGGAGCCATGTCTTTATGTTTGGGAAACATGCAGGGCTTGGGGTGGACCACAAATAGGGGGGCAAGTGGATACCATTTCTGCTATGAGTGAAGCATGCAGCCCACCAGTGTGTGAGAGGGACCTGGAAATTCACAAACCCCTTTGGTAGCTTTTGGAGAAGCAAGATGGTACAAGTACATGAGGGACTAATGATGGCCAAAGAGGGTGGATGCCAAGCTGCATTCCTGGGTCTTCATGGGGCAGGGCAGCTCCTGCTAAGCAGGGAGGCATCTGGCTCCCCTGAACCCATCACACTGCAAAGCCCATCACCCCTGGGACCTTCCTTACCCAGTCACGGGTGCTGTTTCCGCCCAGAAGACAGCTCAGCCAAGTGGATCAGTGTTCAGAACATCAAACTGAAGGAGGCTCAGTACACCTTCCTCACTTGCCACTAGTGCTGCCAACACAGCCTGTCACCAGCCTAGGTGTTTCTCCATGTGAAACGGCAGGAGTGGTGACAACCTGCTGGTTGGCACCACTGAGTCACAGCTGGACATCTCCATGGAGAGGTGAGACGTGATCACCACCACAAAGAGCTGGCACCATGCAATGACCAAGTAGGAGCAGGTGCTGGGATGGTGACCTCCATGCCCTCCCTGGAACTGATGTCCTACCTGGGATCCTGTTGAGTGTCACCCAAAAATGCGCATTGAGGCTGTAGGTGTCCTCAGACCACGCCAGCAGATCAATGGCAGCACAAGCTCCATGAAGGGCCAGGTGATGGCCACGTGTGTGGAACAGAAGTAGAGGGTGATATTGTGGGGTGGGGACACCTTGCATAGCTCGGGGGTGACCAGCCCGGAGGTGCTGTGCCCGACCCCCTTCCTGTGCACATATTTGGTGCAGGTGGTGACTTGGCGGGGTGGCAGCACCCCGAAGGTGATGTTCTTCCCCGTGAGGCCCTTCAGCAGCTGGACAATCTCCTGGTTGGTCTTCAAGGGGAAGTCCTGGCCACAGGTGTTGAGCAGGTAACACCAGGGCACGGCCAAGGCCAGCAGGTCTCTCATGCAGTGGAGCTCAGCCCGCAGACAGGAGGCACCACCATAGACCACCCGCTCTGCCTGGGAGGCAAGGAAGGTGTTGAGGAAGCAGCCTAGCAGATGCCGCACCGCCTGCTGAAAGGGGGCCGGTGCCTTGGCATCCACATGGATACAGTAGGCATTTTGGGGCATGTACACCGCCCTGAAGAGCCTCTCAAAGGTCTCAAAATCCTTGTACTCATGACATGAGCAATGGAGAAGATTGGCTGAGAGGGTGCGGGTGATGTAGCAGCTGCGGGACATGTACATGCTGCAGAGGGCTGCCCCTGGCACTGGCTACAGCTGCCTGCCCCTCAGGTGGGGGACCTGACCAGCCAGCAGTGTGCCACATGCCCACTCCAGTGCTGTGGCCTCCAGGGAGCCTCCACTGCCCACCACCTGCCACCTGCCGTGCCACAGCAACCCACTGCTACCACATCGTCGACACTGCCAGCCTTGGCCCACACCTGGCCTGGCCAGCACCTCCTGGGCAGTCCCACGCCAAGAGGATACAAAGACAAGGATGACCCATGAAATGCACTGCCACAAGCCGCTGCCCACACTTGGGAAGGGCAGTCTCACTGCTGGCCCAGTGCCCCACATGCTCCCTGCACCTGCCACCTTCATGGTACGTTTCCAGACAGAGCCCCCAGGCTGGTGCTGGCAGTGCTGGGGGCAAAGGGATGCCCGCCTTGCAGGGCGGCCCTGTCCTCTGATGGTGGCCACCACACTTGCAACCATCCTAGCTCCGTGAGGTCTCACTCGTGGACACAGGGCTTCAGTCCCAAGTGCATGCAATCTATTTTGGTCCCTTCCAGGTTTTGCAACAGTAAATTAGGTTGGTTTGTTTGTTTTTTCAATTTTTGTCATCTCAAAGAACTGCAATAATAAGAAATCAAGGAGTTAAGCTGTCAGTGTTAGGAGGATTGAGAGAAGCTGATGAGCAAATGCAGGTAGGATGGAAATGGTCACCTCTTAACCCCATACAGGAACAAGAATTTGTCTGTCTGGGCTCATAAGACAGCATGCAAGAATGATTTGCTGTGAAATCCTTGTTTGTCCTGCAAGACAAGTTCTCCCACCTGTCCATGGGAGGGAGGTGACTGGTAAAGATATGGGGGAGTCCTCAGAAGAAGAGATTTTCATTCAAGATGAGATTGAAACAATGGAGAAAAAAACCCACCACCTCTCCTTGAAAATGTACAAAATTTTTTTTTATTTTGCCACCATAAATTTTCATTTCAGTGGGGTATGTGAATGCAAAAATGTGTGTGGAGAGGTGAGGTGTTAACTAAAATAAATTCAAGATCGTCACGCTTTAAAGCAGATCTCAGAACATGCAGAGAAGGAAATAAAGCTCAGGGGAAAAAAACCAGGTTATTTAAAACTACTTCTTTCAAGACAGCAGTCTGAATGCATGCCATCTCCTTGAGCCGTCAGGCTGTTGACAGTCGTAAGAGAGCTAAAGTGCACCTCCTGTGTTGAATCATTTGATGCATAATAAGGAAAGGGTCTCAGTTCTAGTAGCTTCATTTGATGATACGATTTGAAGGAGGTTTTTCTGAGCTGCTACTGACCCATAAATCAACTCTAGTGTCTTTGGCAGGGTTGCAGTCCTGCATCAGAACAGCTGAACTCTACAGGGCTGTTCAGGAAACACCTGCTTCCCAGGGTGGGAGTGAGCTGGACCTATGGGGACATGCTAGGTGCCAAGGACAGCTGATGGCAGAACCACTCTGCAGGAACCACGGGTGCCCACCCTGGCACCCATTCAGGCATAATTCTGCCAACTTCCACCCCGGCTGCCCAGGCAGAGTGCTGGTAGCAGGGTTTGCCTCTCAACACACGTTATGTAGCTTTAGGTGTGGACAGACGAATTTGCTCATAGGTGAAAGGAAGGGACAGGTTCAGGTGGCCTGACTGGAGTTCCTCCCTAACAAAAACAAGGGCTGTTGGAAACTCAGCATCTGGGAATGTCAAGAAAAGTTTCTGTTACTGCATCTGGACTGAAGTTTGGTTGGTTACATGCATAAATTGTGACAGACATTATCTGATGCCAGAATTTAGAAAGAAAAAAATTCTCCCTTAAATTACTCTCATCTGATTCTGTTCTTCAATGAGTTGTGCTGTTTGAAGCCTTTTACACTGATGTCTGATAGTTGTAAAGATAAAGGAGAATCAAGCAAAGGAACACAAGCCCATTTATTAGCTGTGGCTTTTCAAAAAGACTTTTTGAAGACATACCCTTCCTATTCCGTCGTCACTAAGTAGTGTTTTAGTGAGAAGCAAACAATTGGTTGTGAAGCAAAGTATTCTCCTATTGAAAGCAGTACTTAAATTCCAATGACTGAAGATTGCACTGAGACTGAATCCTATTTTAAGTTATATCTTCTCAGATGAACTATAATATCTGAATGGAGGATAGAGGACAAGAGTAATTTTTCAGGAAATTCTGCCATGAGGAAGGTGATTTTGTGATTGCTACGACTATGTTGCAACACCTTCCCTTAAGCAGGTTTTTCAAAAAAGAAAGGCTTTGATGATGAGATTACAACAGCTTTGCAGGTATGAGACTCAGTAACAGCCACAGGAAAATCCCTATTTTTTAATGCCTTATTCCTATGAGAAGTTCTTGCTCAATCAGGAAGTCTCATTGAAATAATGCAGAATATGAACAAGGATTAGTTACATGAGTAACATTGCAGACATAGGTACAAAATACTTTTTTTCTACAACATGGCTTATTCAACTAGCATCACTGTTTGGAATCGTATTAAAAAGTTTCTGCGTCTCTGTGTCTGTCTGTGTGTCTGTTGAAGGGTGGGCACTAAGCTAAGGAAAAGGAACAATTTTAACAGGCAGAACAGAACTGCAATAGTGCATATTAGTATGATATATGTGTTGTGGAGAAGGTTGTTCCAAGAGCCTGTCTACAAATGACAGTGGGCTGAAGAGGTACCAAAGTAGTTTTGAATGATTAAGTTGCTGTAGTAAGAAGCTCAGTGCAAGCTAAATCATCTGGAAAAAACACAGGTGTGTTTGTACAAGCAAACGGCCATATAAAAACTTAAAAATAAGGAATTGGGTAATGTGATTGGTTAATATGCTAGTCAGAATTTTCTGGTATTATGCTTGTGTCTCACAGCCACATCCAAGGAATGTGAATGAGATGTTCCTTGACAGCCACCAGGTCTCTTTTGGATGTAATGCTATTGCTTCAGATAAACTGCAATGAAATTTTAACAAAGACAACTCCTATCTCTCTTGAGACCATACTAGCTTGATTCACAGCATTACCTGCCACATGCCTGCCATTATCTGAGACATACTTATTTTTCTGTCTAACATTCAGCTCCCAACCGAGGAGCTGCCATCAGGATGCTGCAGATATAATTTCAAAGTTTGGGGGTGGTTTAACACTCCACTCACAAACAAAACTATCCATCATTTTCATTCCTTCCCAATTATTCACATAATGAATGAATATATTAGCAACCTTCATCCTGCTTAGAGAGAGCTGAGGTGAGTCTGATTTTTTGCACTTAGACACAGTGTGTAACTGTGTCAACAACATTTAAAACTGTGGCTGGTACACAGCTGGGTGAATCCTTGGAAAAGTAAGCACAAGCTGGAATGCAATGTCATCTTCCATGGATTCCCAATTTCTGTGTCAGATTAGTAGCAAAAGGAGAAAAAAACTCACTCAAAGATACCACGTTGAGGTTGCTGATGTCCCCAGGTGCCCATGCTTGACAAGAAGCTGCTGGGGGCCCTGTGATTCTGTGATCTGCCCATTCAGACCAGAGAGTGTTTTTAGTTTGTGGGCTTGCACAGGACACTGTGGGCTACCCCTTTTAGTAATCAACTACCTTGTATTCACACTGATGCAAAAGTTTGTCCAGTTTTCCAGCAGGCAGCAATGGTATGCTGTGTACCCAATGTCCCTTTTGGGCTCCTTTTTTCCCCCCTCTCTGGGACACGACCCACAGCTGGTCCCCATTTTGCAGGCTTCTTGCTGAAAGCAGGAAGAAAAGTGGTTCTCCCCTGGCACTTTCCCTGCAAACCCCCAGCTTCCCTTACACCAAGTGACTGCCAAGCACCACTCCTGATCTCTGTGGAGGGCTCTGCATGACCAAGGCACATCCCAGAGGCAGGACCGTACTGTCCATGGGTGGCCGGGTGAATTCTGTGCTGGCCAGCATGACACTGGGGAAGAGAGGTGCATTACTGTGGCCAACACCTGGCATGGCTTCTAACCACTTTGCACTCTATGTAAGGGCAAACCACCCCAAACTTGTTGCTGTTGCACTCTGCAGTGACAGGAATCAAAGAATTGCTGAGCATGGCACCATTGCCACATCACCAGTATTCTAGGGGAGAGAAAGGAGCCGTGTGTTAGAGTCTTTTCATTGAAGCTTAGAAGGGCTGCTCTAGCATGGCAGGATGCATGTGCAAGCTTTGCTCAGTTGCCAGAACATAACTGGGCACTCGTAGAGGGCAGGAAATGAGTGAGTGATTTCTGTAATAGCCAGTTGCTACATGCAAGCTTTCTGTTGCAGCTTATAGCATGAGGGGATTGCTAAGGATTTAACAGCGCTTATCATGGGACTGGCAGAACTCATTGCATCTGTGCAAAACTGAGATCGGTGCCTTAGACAAGTGATCCCCTAGTAGCCTAGTGTGTTCCCACTCTCCCCTGCCATGCATGCATCTGAGTTGGAGACACTGGTACAGGGGTGGGGGTGAGTGTAGTGTACCTGGCTGTGAGTGTTCTCTTGCAGGGTTTTTTTGTGATATCCAGGATCAAGGATCCTGGAGGTGCCAGAATCTTCAAGTTCCTGCACTTGCCATGAAATAAGGAAAGCAATAGGAAAGGGGAACACTGGAAAACAAATGAGAGCTGAACAAAGAAGTTCAGCGTGGGAGAAATGGCAAAAGATGAAGAGCAAGAAAAGAATATTGAGGCAGGAGGAATGTAGAGATAAGGAAGGACCAACCAGACTGGCGTGCTGGTGGGAGACAGCAACTGTGGAAGACCAGGCATCACCTAGCTACTTATACAACATGAGCCCTTGGTGTTTCCATGTCTTCTGCTGGCACATATTTGCCAGTGTGCACTTTAGGACCAGCACTGTGCTTGGCAGTGGTGCAGGCTGTTCTCCAGTTCAGATCCCTGCGTTGCCCTTAGCTGCAGCAGTGTACTAGATGTGCTGCTGATATTCATCTTCTGGTTTGGTTCCACCAGAGAAGGAATTCAGCCCTTGCGCACTCAGGTCATTATCTGAGTAATAAAACTAGTATGCAGTAGGAGGAAACAGTCGTAGGGAAATTACTTCAGAAGCACATTTCTGCTCCCAACTAAAATGTTAATTGTGTAACCACAATCAGCAAAGCCAATATGTCTGTGCAAAGCCTGTGTCCAGAGTGCTGTGCTGTCTGTGCAGCAACGCAGTGCCTTTTGAAGGCACGCTGGCTAGTTGCATGGCAGTGAGTCCTCAACCATTTCCCTCAATGATAGTGCCAGATGAAGCATATTTCTGAAGTTCTTGCTCCTTGTGTTCATTGCTTTGCACAGGCCGCTCAACTGTGCTGATACAGTTTGCATGGAGTCATACAATGAACCCTGGGGCATAGCACTGCTAGGAATAATCCTTCCCCAAACGCATCAGAATGCAGGTGCAAAACCGAATTTCTCCTGGTGATAGCTGGGTTTCTTGTTATGCCTAGACCACTTGTAGTATTTGGCCAGCTTGGATATCACAATGCAGCACTCCACTGTGCCTTTCCAGTGTGCTCCCAGAAGAGTTATTCCCAGACTTCTCTGCTTCTTCCATCAATTTCTTGAGTCTTGACTGCAGTTCACATCTAAATAATCCAGATGTAGCAATTCCTGCCCCTGGCAACGGAGAGGTCCTTCATATCTGCTAGTGAACAGAGTGAAGGACACCTCAGGGCTGACTCCGGTCAGAGGCCCTGTGGAGAAGAAGATGGTCTGCCAGCATCTGTTGATGACTAAATAGCTAAGACCTTGTTTGGTTTTCAGTGGTACAGCATCTCCATGCATGTTTGTTAAGTTTTGAAGCTAAAGATGATGACTTAAAACACTGCAGTCCCCATCACAAGGCAGAAGCTGTTGCACGTACCCCAGTAAAGCAAGTTACCCTGAGTACAGCTGCCACCCAGAGCAGCTGGACAAAGGAAGGATAAGAAGGGTAAAGAAGACAATGCCTCAGGTGGGTTTCCCAGGCGGCAGTAACAGTTCTACTCTCTTTGTAACAGGGCAGAGAGGACAGAGGCCGACTTGCCAAGAGGTGTCAAGAGGTACTGCAGGAAAGGCCTCACGTTAGTAACAGCAGCGTGGTGAGCTCTCTGGTCTGGATAAAAGAGGACCTTCTTGGCATGCCTGAATTTGGGAGAAATTCCCTAAAATGAAACCTGAACAAGAAACTTGGAAAACAGGTGCAGGGAAGTAGGAAAGAGACTTGCTTTGCAGTTGCATAAATGCCTTCAGTCACAATGTTGAGAGAAGGAATGAGGATGGCGGTGAAAGTGCTCTGGGAGATGAGATCTTTCACCTAAATACATATTGCTGGCCTCTGGAGATTTATTCCATGTCCCGGAAATGCCCTGGCTGTTCATTCCTGTAACCACCAAGCCCCTTCAGTCCTGCCAGCACAGCCATTTATAGGACTATATAGTGATCCAGGGCAAAGATAAATTGCAAATGATGTCATTTACATTTTCCAGACTGATGTTAACCCAGATCGTTTAAGAAAGAAGAATCATCTGTATAGAACCTGGTGCCAGGAGCACCTAGCAGAAAGATTGAAGTAGAAAACAGACGCTATTTTTACAGGATATTGCAGGAAACTACCTGTGGGACAAAGATGACATTTATTCTTCAGATTATGAGCTAGCCCTTTTAACATATTTATTTTGGCTTTGAGGATGCAGTCTTGAATATTTCCTTATCATTCATTTGTCAGTTGGAGGGTGTGCATGGTATAATCTTGAAGATTAAGTAAGACAAAGCTATGACTTGTTCTGTTGTGATCAATGTGAGAGAACTTCCTATAGGTAAAAGATTTAGCACAAAGACCTGAGCATGTGAGTTTTAGACAGGCAAAGTTTGTAAGAGTGAAATCACCCATGGGAGTTTAAAGTTAAAGTTTCTATCTCTGTATCCTCATCTCCTAGAAATATGTCTTAAATGCAATAACATAAATATGTTCGATTGGCAGTGTTGGATTCCCCAAATACATCTCTTGTCTGTACTGGGATGGAAATTGTACAGAAACTGCTGATACTCATAAAATATGGGAATGCCTTTAAATATTTCTGCCCTACCCTTCCAAGCTCAGATGTTAAAAAAAATGCCTGTATGCAGGTGGCATTGCAGAAGGTGGCTTGAGCCAGGCTCATGGCTCACCATCACTGAAAAGGCAAGGTCTGCCTCCTGTTCCTCCTGTCCTTCCCATTTTCCTCTCCTTTTTACTCACAACTGCATGTTCACCCCCAGCTTTTCTTTGTGCTGACTTCAGTGCTGGCCAGATTCTTCATGAAGTCAATTCAATTCACAGACTCAGAAAAACAAGTAGATTGTTTTTCTTCAGATCTTCTGAGTTGAACTGGCAAAGCTCCTGGCACAGGGTTCGTGGGCAGAAGGAGTGGGAAGGGATGAGCAGGAGGCAGGAGAAAATTTCTTATTTTGGCAACGATGAGCTTTTAAAGCTCAGCTGTCTTGTGCACCCTCACCCCTAATAAAGAAACAGGGCTGGTGCAGAAGCAACAGTGCAACCATGCTGTTATTCTGCAAGTAAGCCAATTCTGAAAAAGTGGTTTAATCCAGTGCATTAGACTGGGAGTCAGGTGTCAGCACTCCAGTGCTGGCTTTCTCCATGGTCTAGTTTAAGACACTGGGAATATCATTTTGCCCTTTCTGCCTGCTTCTGTGAATGGGAAATAATAGCACTGATCTCCCTTGTAAAGCATGTTAGTGACTCTGAATTAGAAGTGCTACTACTACTTCTCCTGACCTTTATTGGCCCACTTGAACAATGCAGAAGTTACTAGCGGACTAGTGTATGTGTATGTCAGTGTTACATATTGGTGTGTATCCTGAGGGATTATCATGTGAGACTGCCTGTATCCCAAGTCATGCATTTATTGTGATCATGTCGCTTGAAAGTACGGACAGGACTTTGACTTGGAAGAGAATTCAGTAAAGTTACCCTGAAGGACTCAACAGCATGAACTGTGGATGCACATCCCTCCCATGGTGACCAGAACCTACTTTCTCCTCTATGTGAGCAGAGAGGGGAAAGGTGGTCCAGTGGTCACACTGCTGGCCTGGGACATGACCACTAACCTGCACTGTGGTTATCCGGGGGGAAGTGAATTTATGGCCAGTGACTTCAAGCCTACAAACTTTGCAAATACTTTCCCTTAATTTCCCCATGCTTCTCTTCCTTATCTGAAAAGTGACTTTCAAGAATTTTCTATCACACGGGAGTCATGTCAAAAATAAGTGGCCTGAGATAAATACCAGAGATAAGTTAAGACTGTTATTTGAAAAACAGCTGAATGGGAATTGAAAGTCTTTAACCTTTAGGGGGCTAAAAAAAAATCTTGGTCTTCATTGCATCGCTCTGCGTAATAAACATGCTATTATAAGATTTGGGGACCAAACAGTCTTTTTTTATCTCTTATCTGAACTGAGATTATCCTGACCACCTGAAACTATGAATACCTGTTTGATTTAGTTCTTTCATGCTGTTCTTTTATGCTGTTCATCCAAACTGGTCCTTAAATGATCTCTCTGCTTGCCTGAAGGTCTCAAACTATTGGTTCTAACAGCTGGACCACTGCCTGACACCATATGATATGCCTGAAAAGCTAAAAGGAAGTGGCTTGGTCAAACTTGGACAAGACGTTTTTGTTAGAGTCAGGGACTGAGTCCCAGTCTAACACCCCATGCACTGAGAGGGATGACTTCTCACCCCAGAGTTGCTCAGACCTCTGGGTCTGACTTGGATATGTTCAGGTGAGCGTCTGACACCCTATGTTATGCTTACAAGTTTGGATTCAAAATCCTGGACAACAGCAGCCCCTGAGTACATCTGTCAGAGCTGCATGGCCACTTTTGGCCAGGTACCCTAATGTGATGTCAGGGAAAACAAGGAAGAGGAAGGAAACATATCTGCTGTGGAAATAAACAATTAAATACGCAGCCTATGTAAGCTACACAGTGCAATACAACAAACAGCAACCACCTAAAGGTTTCTGATTGTGGAGGATGTATCTGGTCCCAGGCTTATTGCTTCCGAGGCAATGAACTATAATAAGATCACAGCAAGCAGCTTCCTGGAAAAGTCAGCTAGCTACAAATGATATATGCTGATGATTATACCATACAGATCTCAATCAGTAATCATTTGTGAATCTTGTGCATGCCAGTTGTAAACTACAGTTATCAGAAGAGCAAGCACTGTGCTCATAGAGAGTTATGTGATAATTTGAAAGCAGACTGGCCTTGCAAAATGGACCCACAGTCTGCTGCTTAGGTTAAAGTAAACACGCTTTGCCTTTTTGTAACTGCTTCCTGTTTTCATTTCCCACAGCTTACAGCAGGGAGCGGGTGGAAAGAAAAAAAAATCCTGTAGCAAACACCTTCACTACAATGCTTACATAACTTATATATTTTAATCTTTATTCCTTCTCTTTTCTTCATCTCAATTTTTACAGGTAAAAGGTTTAAATCAGCTGAAATGTCCAAGGATTCCAATTTGAACTTAGATGCCCTGGGTTTCTTCCTGCTCAGACGCAGAACAGTAATGCACATCCCGCATGGCACCGTCATCTCTTGCTCATTGGTCAAAAAGGGCAAGTGAGCTTATTTGACAGATGAACCTATTATATCAATTAAAATCTGATTAAATTTTTCAGCTAGGCTTTGTCAAAATCAACCTCAGATATATGTCTCTCTGTGTGTGCATGCATGTGCGCACCTGTGTGTGCATGTCTATATCTACAGAAAACAAAAGTGAAAGCGTACTCACCTGGGATCCTGTTGAGCGTTACCCAGAAATGCTCATCGGGGCTGTAGGTGTCCTCGGACCACGCCAGCAGATCAATGGCACGCTGGTCCTGCAGCACAAACTCCACGAAGGGTCGGGTGACAGCCACGTACGCGGAGCCGAAGTAGAGGGTGATGTTGTGGGGTGGGGGTGCCTTGGGCACAAATGTCCGTAGCATGAAAGAAAAGAAAGAGTATAATTGCTCCCTGTGCACATATTTAGTGCGGGTGGTGATGTGGGGGGGCGGCAGCACCCCAGGGGTGATGTTCTTCCCTCTGAGGCTCTTCAGCAGCTGGACAATCTCCCGGTTGGTCTTCAAGGGGAAGTCCTGGCCGCAGGTGTTGAGCAGGTAACACCAGGGCACGGCTGAGGCCAGCAGGTCTCTCATGCAGTGGAGGTCAGCCCGCAGGCGGGAGGCACCACCATAGACCACCCGCTCTACCCGGGAAGCAAGGAAGGCATTGGGGAAGCAGCCCAGCAGACGCTGCACCGCCTGTTGAAAGGGGGCTGGTGCCTTGGCATCCACGTGGATACAGTAGACATTTTGGGGCATGTACACTGCCCTGAAGAGCCTCTCGAAGGTCTCAAAATCCTTGTGCACGGTCATGATGTAGGCAATAGGAAAGGCAGCCTCCTCGGCCGAGAGGGTGCTGGTAATGTAGTGGTTCTGCGCAATGTACTCTGTGCAACTGGATTCTCTGAATGATGTTTTTAAAGCATTTTCCTTCAGAAAGGGCGCCTTATCTTCAATAAGTGCTTTACAGACTTCTGCTAAAGTTGAACTCAGCATGAAGTTCAACCTCCTAAGAGATTTTTGTGCATGCAAATTGACAGCATAGAAAACAAATGGAAGTGAAATACTGAGAACCAGAACAGCAAAGAAGCAATATCTGAGTGTACTCATTGCTGCTCAGAAAGTCTCACTTGAAATATTGCAAAGAGATCAGATTAGACACCACAAACAGCCTGTATTGCTTGCTGCACTTGCTTCCTGCTGGAGAATGCATGCATCCATCTGATGCATAGTATGCAGTTGCTGTCCTTACTTTCAATATTAATAGTTTCATAGTCATTGCTGATGTGGAAGCAGCGTAAGTAGTGAACAAATTGCAGATGGAAACTACTCCACAGCACCCTGAAGATTAAACAGACATATTGCATAATTACTGGCTTGGCAATGAACAGCCAGCAGTACATATTACACAGTGTCCCTGAGTTCAATTTATGGCTATCTTCTTAACTGTTCCCTCCCCACTCTCCCTGCAGGTATCATGTATCTGTAAAACTGCCTCTGTGTGTACCTTGTGACAGGAAAATCTTATATTTACCTCTTCTATAATTCTATTTTTTTATTTTAAGGAACTTTTTCTTTGGTACCACCCAAGTTTATAAGTCATCGTTGCTTCAGAATTATGAAAGGCTTGTTCCACACACTTTGGTACCATGTAAGGCCACCAACACTCACATATATGAAGCAAGAGAATCTTTTTTGCCTCTTTGTGGAGTTGTATCAGAGCCATCAGCTTTTTGCAGCAATGTTTTCTTCATTTGTAAATTTTAAATCTGCCAAATAGTTTCTGCTAAGTGATGGATGAGTTGTGATGAGCTCCGGCCTTACATCCATCACAACAAACTGGGTTAGTTAAACCTGCTATTTAAACTACTTAAGCTAATCTTAGGCTTTCTGATGGGATATTCTAAGAGCCATGGATGCATTTGTTGTAACAACATGCTTATGCAATGAGAGCTTGTGGCATGGCTCTGACTAAAGAGAAATACTTGGTAACTGTCTCTCTTCCAATTATGAGACTTCTCATGTGCATCTCCTGCCAGGAGACAGAACGTGTGGGGCATATAAACTTTTTTCAACATCATGTCCTTTTGGTCCAATGAGAAGTTATGCTGAGGCAACATCAGATGATCTGAGATTATGCCAATAAATGTTTTGATTGGGCAGGCCAGTGTGCTACAGAGGCAGAAATACCATCACCTACCTTCCAACGCATGCAGACAACTCACCTCAGGCTCTGGCAGGTCCCTCTGAGAAGCTGTGCTTTCCTCCTGTCCTGGCCCCAAACAATCTCCAGGATTCTCTGTTCAGACAGATTGAAGGCTGCAGGCAGTGGCTGCAGCCCATCAGGTACAGTCACAAGCTGTTACGAGGAAGGGAGCACTGGAGAAGCTTCACAATGACTTGTGGCCAGAAAGTCCCCCAAAAAGGGCACCAGTGCAGGACAGACCTGGCAGTCAAGCCTACCTGGTGACGGCAAGCAGCAGAGCCGATCCTCACCAGGGAGTCAGCAGGGATGGGTAGGCATAGCTGTGGTCATGCTGAAGATCCAATGCAGCCTTCTTCACAGACACCAGCACCTTCAAAAGGAAGATGGCTCTGATGGAGCTGAGGGGTAGGAATGGAGGCTTACAAAGTCCCAGGGGCTGGAACGGAGATGTGCAAAGTCCCAGGGAGTAATGGAGACTCACCTGATGCTGCTGAGAAGTCATTGGAAAATACTGCCACAGCCCAACAGTACAGTTTGTTAAAAGACAATTCAGAGACACGAGCAGACGCTGAGCTGAGACCACTATCCAAGTCTAGCAAAGAAGTGCACAGCAAACACTGCCATGAGGGGAAAACATGTCCCAGCTCGGTTATCAGTGAATGCTGTCCTAGGGAGCACAGACCTGCCCGGAGTGGTTCAAATGACTGCTCGTTCCTAATTTGATTGTTACAGTGAATTATATCCAGGAGCGAACAACAGTCACCTGCCTGACACCTCAGTAACACAAACTGCCATGACCATAGATGACTGTAAGGCCAGCGGACTCTTACTCTTCTCTATGCAATCCGTAGACCACTAAGTTCAAGACCCGCCTACACCTACTGGACCAGCTAGCTGCAAGACCATTTCTTCCCATGTGCCATGGTCTTAACATGAAACCTCCATCCAGACGGAGTTAGGAAAATGTGGAAGGGAGAAAATCAGGGGCAAAAAAGCAGGAGTCACGATTTCCTTGGGGGAGTCTCAGCTGGAGGCAGAGAGCACAGGTAGCTTTTCCAAAGCACCTGTCCCAACCTGCTCAGCGGGAGTGGGGAGAGGTGATCTTTTACAATACTCTGCGTGGTTCATGGGAGAAACCACAGGCTCTCCAGAGGCAGAAAAAGAATAATTAACTTTCTTACAAAATTTCCCTAAAACTGTGGTGGAAGGAACAAAAAAGACTAGGCAAGTTCTTATACTAATAAAACAATCCAGAATAGAAGGAGAAAAGGAGAAAAGATAGAGAGAAAGAGAGAAAATAAAGAGATAGGATC